TATATATATATATATATATAAGTATGTGCGTGTGCGTGTGCATGCGGTGTTGAAGTTTAAAAAAAAAATCTACATGTAGTGCACAAGGCTGACAGATTATGCTTAACTGAGCGTTTTTTATATACGTTCTAATGACGCATTGTCTTCTTCGCCACATGGTTGCCATTGCCGCCTACGTGCAGGAGAGTTGTGTCCGATCGCAGGACGCATCTCTATGGACTCGTGCACGCTGAAACTGCCGCAGAAACCCCAGCCCGACGACACATACTCCGTTCTCACTGCCGACTACGCAGATCGAACCTCCTACTCATGGATGGCGCGCGCACTAGACGCTGCCAACTACGAGATCACGGGCACCTGGTCAACCCGCCTGCCACGTGTCTACATCAAACAGGGCGAGGTACATGACATCCTGCATGCTGTGGACTACAGCAACTAGCTGTGTCGGTGTGTAGCTGTGAAAGCATGCTACTGCTCTGACATGCAGCGACTGCACTGTAACTGTTTGCTTGAAACGGGTTCCTCACCAGTATAAATGCTGATCGAATGAATGTGTGGGTTCTGGCAGTGCTCAATTTTAACAGTCGTCCGGTCGTCCGTGACAACTGGATTTTCTCTCGGGCAACTACTAATTGCTTCAACAATGCGAATGGCCATGATTGCTGTCACTGCAATACGTACAAATTACAAAATGTACATGATTAGGCCTTTTGATTTACAGCACTGAGCATCACGTGAGCAGAGCGCATGCAGCACATGTTTAAATAATATCCGGACAACCATATGCTACTCTCTTGGTTGTGCTCCGGACAACCCAAAAAAATCCTTAAAATTGAGCACTCTTCTGGGTACTATTCCTCCGAGCTTCCTAGTTGCCTCATTTTTACTGCAGCGAATAATTGTTTTCAAAAAATTGTCTCCCCTTTATGTCTAATCAGTACTTCTAAACATCGACTATCAAAATGCTGTCTCCGATATAGCACACAGTCAGTAACTTAGGCAGTTTTTATTTGGTTAGAATGGTCGTGACTTTATCCTAAATGAAGTCGGCAGCTGAACCACAGAGTGAAGTTGTGATCTCACATAATTATTTTTGGTCGTTATTGAAAAATTGCAAACCCGACCTATATGTGGTGTTTTCCGTTTTTAGTTGTCATGTTTTTATCAAGATGTTTGTTATATTATTGAATTTTTGTTTATGCTGCTGGTGATTCTCGGGTATACATTCCCACGTCTTGTCAGTTGCATGTAACAAATGATCAAAATGAAGATAAGAGCCATACCCAACAACATCTTACAACATCTTACATAACAACGACCGTCACATCCAGAAAACTAAATTTCCCTTACCAGGTGTATAATTTCCTTAAAACATAACCTATAAGCATACGTGTTAGGTTAATCCTCGCTCTAGTACAATATTGTATTTTTAGCCTACCTAACAGTGTCTGGTTGAGCTTGTCAATTACAATTGCATCTGTCCCGATCTGTCTTTCCTTTCTTCATATTGGCCTAAATAGTAGGTTCCTCCCCACTCTTGTGTTGGTTTACATTATTGTATCTTTATGTTCACGATAGCACGGACGTCTCTATACATAGATTGTAGATAACTTCATGATATAAACTGAAGACATTATTTTGTATGTAAAGGCATATGGAAGCACATACCAATTATCTATCCAAGCAAAGAGTAAACACAAAGTAATTATATGAAATGTTGAAATGATATGTTTAATAAAATTTCGTGGAACATCGAAGTAAATCAATCGCTGGTGTTTGTTTTACGGTTATTGTATCAATAATATATTTAAATTGATCGGTTTCTTTAAATGTTTTATTTAAAATGTTCAAAATGCGGATCCACAATGCGTTTAGACCCGAATAAGAAGTTTAAAGGATGTGGCAAATACCTTTCACTTGTAAGTAGTCATTTAATATGCGCTATAACTACAGTCTACTAGCTTGCTTATAATTTATATCTGAGAACCAGCCAGCTATATTATATAAACATCAGCTGGGCACTTGCTTCGCAAGATTTTATTCTTCTCGGGAGCTATTGTGCATGCGCCAGCAACGTTTCAGGTGTGCAGTACGGACTGAAGGCAACTGCACAATATATAGGTTGCTAATGGAGAGAGTGGTCAGAGATTGCGGAAAGGTGGCAGGGAAGATAGCTGAGGTGTGGTAGAAAATAAGTATGCTGAGCGAGGGACATGGGAGATCAAGTGGAAGGACGGGAGTGGATGAAGTAGGAGTTTTGCAACCTGCAAGCTAGGGCGCTCGCCTAATTATAAACACAGGTCTACCGATAAAAATTAATTACATAAATCTTTGCTGAGATACCCCCTAACCATTTTAAATGTATATTCGTCACAAAATATAACTCTTCTGGTGAGATATTTTGCATGCGCTTACATACTAACGTAGCAAGATTCTGTACCGAATGGTATATGCAGCGGGCACCTTACATGCAAGATCTTCGTCCTATTTCTTAAGACAGGTCTACTGATGGAATGTTATCATATAAATCTATGCTAGAATACCTCCTGTCAATCTTAAATGTATAATCTTCTCAAAACTTTATTCTTCTTGAGAGATATTGGCATGCGCAAGCACCGTTTCAGGCGTGCGGTATGGACTGAAGGCAATTGCATAATATAGGTTACCGAGGGAGAGAGAGAGAGCGCGAAAGAGAGAGAGAGAGACAGAGTGGTCAGTGGTGGGAGACTGCGCTCGCAGCATCGCGCCACGATTGCTAGCTATGCTAATGTATGGGCAAATGGCGTTGCGACGTCAGTCGCCGTTAACTGCCAAGATAATATTTTCCGGCTGTTCTTATACGTTCAAACTGGAGCCGTACATGCTGACAGCACGTGTGCATGGTAAAAACTGATCTAGATGCTTCACTTCGCTTGCAGCATCTTGCGACGATTCACAGCTATGCTAATGTATGGGCCAATGGCGCTGCGACGTCAGTCGCCGTTAACTGCCAAGATAATATTTTCCGGCTGTTCTTATACGTTCAAACTGGAGCCGTACATGCTGACAGCACGTGTGCATGATACAAGTGCCGCGGAGCGACAGCGCTCATCTAACGTCTACTGCGGTGACTGTGGTGGAGTGGTGGGATTCTAGTAAACCCTGTTAGTGTAGGAGAGCGCAGGCTCTCGCACAGAGGAAATATATCGCCTCACACTATT